AACGGGCTCACTGGCGAATGGCGCTGCTGGGCCCACAACTCCCCCCAACCCCCTCAAACCTCTTTCTCACTCCCCCCCTCTTGTTCAACCACACCCCTTTCGCCACCCCCTCCCCCCCCCCCCCCACAGCGACACGTGCGGCAGTGAGAGAGAGAGGAGGAGGGGTTGCAGCAAGTAGCTCACACCCGCCACCCCCAAACCCTCCCCCCCCCACTGCTGCACTCGCGGCAGTGAGAGAGAGAGGAGGGGGGACTGCTGGTGGCGCGGCAGAGACTCTCTCCCCACTCCCTTACCCTTCCCCCACAGCCCGCCAGTTCCACCTGCACTCCCGCCTCCTCTCATGGCCATCATCCCCGTCCCCATTTCCTTCCCCTCCCCCCCCCCAACAGCGACCGTCGCTGTAGACACGCACGGCCGCGACAAGGGTGGGGGGGGGGGGGGGGGGGGCGAGACGAGCAGTGGGGGCGGGCAAAACGGGCGCGCGCAAAGGGCGCTGCAAGGGTCGCGGTTAGGGCCGCGACAGGGCTGGACGGGGGGCTGGAACGGGGGCCACGCCGGAGGTTGCGACGAGCAGGACGCGGCGGCCAATGGGCGGGCGACGGGGCGACGAAGCGACGACGGGCAGCGAACGGGGATGCTGACGACTAGCGCAAATTGCGCCGCGCTGGTCGTCGCGGCCTGCTTCCCGTTGGTCGCGACGTGACCAACGTGGCGCGACCGGGACAGCAGAGGCGACGGGGCGAGCTGCACGTTGGCAAGTGGTGGGCCCATGTTACGAAAACGAAACGGAGGTCCACAGGACGGACCTGCTCTAGATACCATGTCGAAAGTAGCTAATTAGTTCTTAGGAGCCATGACTAGGGTTCGAGGTACTAGCATGGATGTCGAGAGAGTAGTGCAAGGAGAAAAGAAGAAAGAGGATGATTCAATATTGAGCGAGGGTACAAATAGGAAGAAGGTGCACCACAACAACAAGGCATATAACTACACTAAGTCTACACTACAGGCAGTTATAGAATATTGTATACAATTACAATTTAACAACTTATTCCCTGACTCTCTCTCAACAAGTGCTAGCCATTGCTTGAAAAACTTGTGAACTTCATCCTTGGTGTTGATGAAAAAGGACCACGAGAAACGACTCTTGTCATCAATGAAAGACACCAAATATCTCTTACCGTTTCGAGTAGGGTCTCGCATGGGGCCGAATACATTAGTGTGGACCAACTCTAGGAGGTCCCTTGACTGAGACTTAGAAGGGAAAAATGGCTTCCTAGCTAGCTTACCTTCGATACAAGATGGACATGAAACGGAAGAAAGGGATTTGACTGCACTTTCACTCAAACTCAATCCTTCCACGCTCTTGTGATTTACCAACTCTTTCAATGCTTGCATTCCCAAGTGCCCCAAGCGTGCATGTCATACATCAGTTTGGGAGATACTCCCTTTGTTGTTCACTTGATCGGTTGAAACAGCGGGAAGCGAGACAACGTCGTTCTTCGTGTTGCTAGAACCGCGCTTAAACTCCAATTTCATCTTGTAGAGCCGCCCGATACGCTCGCCTTCAGCCACCAAATTCTCTGAACTGCCCCACACTTTGGCTTTTCCCCCTTGCAAGAGTACAGAGGCACCTTTCTCTTCGAGTTGTCCAGCCGAGAGCAAGTTTGCTCCCAAATCAGGAACAAACAAAGCTTTATTGACACAAAATGACTTACCATCATTTTCGAACTCAAGCTTGCCGACTCCTTTGATAGGGACTTTGCCAAGATCAGCAAGAGTCACCACTTTTGAGTCATACGAGGGCTGAAAATCCTTGAGAATGGACTGATAGGGAGTCATGGTTTCAGAATAGCCACTATCAAGAATTAACTCCTCACTACTAGTAGTAAAAACGTGCATGCAAGTAGCGGCATTGAAAAGAACAGGACCATCAGAATCTTTGGACTCATCTTGACTTGTAGAATGACTTGCTGTATTTGCTATAACTACCTTACCCTTTTCAGATAGTGGCTGAGGTGGGGGGACCCAATTAGGAGGCTTCTTAGGACAAGCATACCACGGGTGACCCCACTCATGACAACAAAAACACTCAAAAATAAAATTTTTAGCATTCGAGGCTTGGCTGAAATTATTGACTCTTGGCGGATTGACTCTTGCATTCCTAGGCTGATATTGATTGGGAATTGAAGGCCTTGGCTGGACATAGGGACTTGACTTACAGGGAGGACTTGACTGAGGAAAACGAGAGGGTTTGTATGGGTTGGAAGGTGACTGGAATTTCGTACCGTAGTAAGGTTGAGGGCGGTTTGGGTTGAAGTTTCCTTGCCTCTGGGATTGGTTGCCATATCTTGTAGCTGCTGCAGCACTAAACGCACCTTCGTCACCCCGCTTGTTTTGTGCAAGGTCTTGACTTTATTGCTCGTTGATAAGGGCCTCGAAGATGAACGCACAAGTCTTCATTGATTGCGGGAGCGCTTGGAGGGTTGCACGGAAAGTTTCCCACTCTGGTGTAAGGCCGGTGAGAAAGACGGTCTTAAACAGTGACTCTGGGATCTCCAAGTCAATTACTGCTGCTTCCTTCAACATCGTTTCAGCTCGTTGAAGGTAGGCTTGTGCGGACTCATCTTCTTCCATCTTCAGATTCATGAAGCGGCTCCACATTTCGGCTTGGCTGCTCTCTGATTTTGACTGGTGCATGGTCTTCAGTCGGCTCCATGCTTCCTCTGCACTGTTTGCCTTGGTAGAGCAGGGTAGGAGAGACTTCAACTGCTGTTCATGAGTGCTATTGAGTAGGTAGAGAAAAGCTTCTTTGTTGCGCCGCTCATAAAGTCGTTTCTCAACTTCTGAAGCATCTGCTGTTGGTTTAGCTGCTTCTCCAGTATAGTATGGCCACAAGTCCAGAAGGGATGCATTAAGTTCAAACTGAGTTGCCCATGTAGGAAAATCCTTGCCGTTGAACTTAGGAAGGTGAAGTTTGGGCATAAAGGGACTGAGTGATGAGTATGTTGTTGAAGAACTGCCTGGTGCAACTGCTTCCATTAAACCAGTAGCTGCTGATGTTGATTCTGTAGCTCCTCCGGCTGACTGGAGTGCAGGGTCAGACGGATTATCTCCTGCCATGGTCGGATTATGCTAGGATAGGAAGGTGGCGGGCTCGGTTGATCGAAACGACTAGCTCTGATACCAACTTGAAAACAGGGTGATAGTGACTGCTAGAGGGCTGGAAAGGCTCAACAGAGCTGCTGGAATTTGGCTGGATGAGGGAAAAAACTTCACTATGGTCAAGACTATACAAGCCCACTAAAGCACAACCCTTTAAGCATCACAAAAACAAAGGTAGATAGGTAGCTCAAAACTAGGCTACTAGAAAAAGCAACTCCCTTGGGAACTTGGGCACAATCTTGCTTCCATGGACCTTGAGTGACTTTGAGAGCCACATGAGGTGCATGAATACGAAGGCTATGGAATTATCTGATATAGCTGATTCTGGATTGTAGAAATCTGTAGAAAGCGTTAACACATCGGCTGAAAGTGATTCCGAACTGTAAAGGGACTTCAGCTGAAATCTGATTGGTTGCGGAAGTTTCTAAATATTTCGCGAAGCCTTGACTCCGTCGCTGACATTCCCCCTTGCTGCTCCTTGTGTGCAAAGGGCTGGGGCGGCAGAAACTCGCTTCTCCAACAGATCTGAACCGAGTGTGGGTTTTCTGGTGGTGCCATGAGAATCCACGAGAATGATCAAGTGGGTTAGCTAGTGGTGGCACGAGAAGGAACAAACAAGCCCTTGGGAGTTGCGAGTGGAATCATCCACTGGGACGGAGAGATCGGTTTGAGTGGGTTTGAGTGGAGAGATAGACTTGGGACTTGGTTCAAAATGAGAAGGAACAAAATGAACCCTTGGGGTTGCGATCATCCATTGCGATGGGGAGATTGGTTCAAGTGGGGATTTGTGGCGAGGCGGACAATGGCGTGAGGGCGCAGTACATTCGGGTTCAAGGCGGTCCTTAGAACATGTGAAAAATCCACATATGGTTGAAAAAAGCGGTGATACATGGTGAAATGCGGTAATTCTGAACTTTCAAGTATCGAACAACCCTTGAATCGAGATTCCCGCGCCTGACTTGGAAGCAAAAAGACCCGACCTCAACTCAGGCCCAGTCTGGAGTCTAGAAGGCGGGTTTCCCCCATTCCACGCAAAATCCTTCCACACCAAAACTTCCCGAATCAGGCGTTCTAGCCTTCCGCGTGGGCTATGCAGGGCTTCTCTAGGCTCTGATCGCGTTGGTCGCGGCGACCAATCCTAATGACGCGCCGAGTTTAGGGTTTTCTGTCCCCTCGCGCTACTCGCGACGTGATTTTCCCCAGACTTGCGACGACCACGTGCACAGCATCACGCACGCCTCGTCGATGCATTGCCAATCTCTGTCGCCTTCCGTGCTACCATAATTTCCGTTCCCGGCGGAGGAAAGATAGCCAATGTTTAGTCCAGACAAGTTCTCAACGATTACTGGTAGTGCGAGACATTTTAGGTATCGCGACTAGCGAGCTACTTGTGCGTATCGCCGAGGGGTTAAACGCCCGGAAATGCCCAAGAGAAGTCTGGCGGCGGTGGAATGGTGAAGGGAAGGAAGAAGTAGGCGGAATTGAGGTGTTAAAAGTAGCGCGTGAGGTACTGGAGGAGATCTGGGGAGGAAGAGATGTTTGGCGGTGGTGGAATGGTGAAGGGAGGGAAGAAGATGGAAATGAGGGGGTTGAAAGTAGCGCGTGAGGCACGGGAGGAGATTAGCTGCGGAAGAAGAGGATAGAGAAGACGAGATTAGGGAGATGGAGGTGGAGGGGGAGAGGGATGGGGACGAGGAAGAGGGGAGTAAGGAGGAGGGGGAGGGAACGGAGGGAGAGGACGGGAAGAAAGGGGGGAAAAAACAAGTGGAGGAGATGGGCTAGCACATGACCGAGGGAAGCGAAGTGCCAGGGCATTGGAGTAGACGGGCTTTAAGCACATGACGGAGGTAAGGACTACTAAACCCGAGCTCAGCACCGCTATAACCGCAGGTCCAATGCCCCGGTTGGGCTTTAAACACTTGAAACACGCATCCCTAGCCTTCAAGGCCTGATAACAGGTGTGCTTCAAACGAGTGACGAAAGTCAGCAGTCTAGACAACACGAGGGCCTCAGAACAGAAGCGAGCAGTTGCTTCTAGGAAATACCGGTAGTTGCACGTGTCAGGGTTCAGGGTTACCACACTGAGGCCTTGGATTTGGTGCGTGTTTTTGGAGCGATAGGCATATCAGGGTGTAGGGTTACTGCACTAGAGATCTTTGTTTTGTGTTTCCGTGGTCAGATGTACGCCTCGTATTTCAATCATTAGTAAGCCCGACGCTGATCTTCCATCCTTGTAAATACTCCCCCCCCCCCTCCCCCCCTCTCCCTACCCCCCCTTACAACAACGATATGAATTATGCTGCAGGTCCAGGCTCCGACCTCCTTCCCCCATGCCCCTCACACACACCCATCTTCCCCCTTGCGTCCTTCCCCTTTGCCTCCTTTCCCCTTGCCTCTTTCCCCCCTACCCCTCACACCCATCTTCCCCCATGCCTCTTTCCCCCCTAGCCCTCACACCCATCTTCCCCCGTGCCTCCTTCCCCCTGCCCCTCACACCCATCTTCCCCCGTGCCTCCTTCCCCCTGCCCCTCACACCCATCTTCCCCCTTGCGTCCTCCCCCTTTGCCTCCTTTCCCCTTGCCTCTTGCCCCCCTACTCCTCACACCCATCTTCCCCCTTGCCTCTTTCCCCCCAACCCCTCACACCCATCTTCCCCCTTGCATCTTTCCCCCCTACCCCTCACACCCATCTTCCCCTGTACCTCCTTCCCCCTGCCGCTCACACCCATCTTCCCCCGTGCCTCCTTCCCCCTGCCCCTCACACCCATGTTCCCCCTTGCGTCCTTCCCCTTTGCCTCCTTTCCCCCTGCCTCTTTCCCCCTTACCCCTCACACCCATCTTCCCCCTTGCCTCCTTCCCCGTACCCCTCACACCCATCTTCCCCCTTGCCTCTTTCCGCCCTACCCCTCACACCCATCTTCCCCCTTGCCTCTTTCCTGTTAGGATAGGACTTGGAGCCATGGCTAGAGAGAATAGTCGAAGTGATTGACTAGGAAGAGTGTCGAGATACAAATGTAGGAAACCCTAATTGAACTTAGGGTATGTTCAGTTTGTGCTAGAAACTAAGAAATGAACCTAAAGTGAACCAAGAGTGTAACTCGCTCTAAACATGGCGAAATAACAAAAGAACACCATGATAAATGCCAGAGCGAGCTCTAGCCTACTCCAACACACCCCCAGGCTAGGTGAAGCTCTGGAACAAAACACCTAACGAAACGGAACACCCCCAGAAGTGGCAAGACGAGTGAGCCCAAGCGCGCGCACGTAGAAACGGTGTGGCGCACGAAGGAAAGCCTTGGTGAAAATGTCAGTAAGGTTGGCAGTAGCGGCCACCTTGCGAAGGCAGAGGAAGCCAGACTGCACAAGCTCGCGCACGAAAAAGTAGTGGACCTCGATGTGTTCGCTGCGAGCGTGATAGACAAGATTTTCAGTGAGGTGAATCATGCTCGCACTGTCAAAGGAGAGCGTCACAGAGGGCTGAGAGTGACCAAGCACAGCAAGGAGAAATGAGAGCCAACGAGCCTCCTGAGCCGCCAATGTGCCTGCGTACAACTCAGTCTCGCAGGTGGAAAGGCAGACAGAGGATGAACGAGTGGAGCGCCAGCTGATGAGGCCACTGCCAAGAGTAAAACCATAACCCTGAGAGGAGCGGCGATCACGGCGAGAATCAGCGTAGGAGGAATCACTGTAACCGGAAAAAATGGGGGGAGAAGTGCCACCAAGAGTGAGTGCAAGATCAGAGGTAGCGCGGAGATATCGGAGAACGCGCTTGGCAGCCGCCCAGTGCACGTCAGTGTGGCGATCAAGGCCAACAAAACGAGAGAGAACACTGAGAGGGTAAGCAAGATCGGGGCGAGTGCACATCATAGCATACATGAGTGACCCAACGAGCTCAGGATAGGGTCGCAGTTCTGAGGAGGGGGCGGGAACGGCAGGGGCAGTAAGTTGATGGTTAGCAGGAAGAGGGGTGGAAACTGGCTTGGCCTGCGACATTTCAAAGCGCTCAAGAATGGAGTGGATGTAGAAGGATTGAGAGAGAGAGAGATGGTACGCGCAGCACGCTCACGACGGATCTCCATGCCGAGGTAATGACGAAGCTCGCCAAGATCCTTGCACAGGAGACGCGCCTGGAGGGCCTGCTTGACAGCGGCAAGGTCGGCAGAATCTTCAGCGAGAAGCACCAAGTCATCGACGTAGGCAAGAATCTAAAGCATGTGGGGGGAAGTGCGAATGAAGAGACTGGGGTCGGAAGTGGAGGTGGAGAAGCCAAGAGAGTGAAGAGTGGAGGCGAGCTTAGCATGCCACTCGCGCGGGGCCTGCTTAAGACCATACACTGGGCGCTCAAGGAAAATGCGTTCATGAAGCTCGCCCTGGAGAAAAGCATTGGAGACATCCATAGAGTGTATCTCCCAATCTCAGCGGGCGCCTAGATCAAGAAAAGGGCGAAGAGTGGGGAGACGGGCAGTGGGGGAGTAAGTGGCAAAGTAGTCAATGCCTTCACGTTGGGTGAAGCCTTTCGCGCAATAACAGGCTTTGAAGACATGGAGCTCCCCAGGCAACTGTTTGACACGAAAGACCCATTTTCCCTTGACAATGGTGGCGCCAGGGGGGGGGAACAGAGTCAACGTAAGATTGAGTTATGGTGAATGTCTCACACTCGACAATGATGGCATTCATTCATCCACTCAGTTGCATGAAAGCCAGACACTGCCTCGGAAAAGGTATGAGGGGTGGGAATGGCGGGAGTGTCAACTGAGAGAAGAGTGGGAGAATTGGAGAAGTCGCCTATGGTGACACACAGGAGGGGTGAAACGGGATGAACAGAGAACAGCTCTTCAAATCGATCCTCGAGAAGATCAACGTTTCGAGAGGGAGAGAGACAAGTAAAGAGAGCAGAGTGTTGAAAATTGGACATAGCAAGGGTCATGGAGCAGATGAGACGCGGAGAAGGTGGAGGAGCAAGAGCAGAAGGAATGGTAGCTGAAGGATGTTGTGAAGGAGAGGGCATGGGAGCAGAAGTGGAAGAGGTAGGAGGAGAGGTGCCGGAGATGACAGCAGAGGGGGGGGTGGAGGGGGCAGGGAGGGGAGGCGGAGCAGGGGCAGGAGGAAGGGGAGAAGGAGAGGGAGCAGTAGAGGGCAGCGGATCAAAGTCAGACCAATGAAGAGAGGGAGGAGGAGGGGTGGGAGGGGGGGTGAGGAATGGAGAACGAGTCTCATCAAAGATAACATCCTGGCTGCGAATGAGCTGCTAAGAGGAAGGAGCATAGAAAAGATAGCCAGGACAATCAGGGTTGATGCCTATGAACGCACAGAGCTGCGTCTTGGGAGCGAGTTTCCCACCCTGACGTGCTCGATCGGCGGGATTGATGAGGACATGAGCGGCACAGCCCCACACCCGAAGAGGGCGGGCGGAGGGCTGGCGGCCAAACCAGAGCTGGAAGGGTGTAATGGAAGGGCGAAGGGGATGAGGGCGAAGGTTGGAAAGAAGAGTGGCATGAACAAGAGCGTAGCTCCAAAGAGAGTGTGGAGCAGAGGCATGAGTAAGGAGACAGCGGGTGATCTCCATGAGAGTGCGAATACGACGCTCGACAACGCCATTCTTTTCGGGAGAATGCGGTAGGGTGGAGGTTTGGCGAATGCCATGAGAAGAGCAGTAAGAAGAGAGAGAGTGGTTAAAGAACTCGCCACCAACATCAGAGTGGAGGCGTGCGATAGGACGGCCAAAGCGAAGGCGTGCCTGCTCAGCCCAGCGAATGATGAGGGAGGGGGCGTCAGATTTGGCACGGAGGGGATAGACAGTGGCAAAGTGAGAGTGGTCATCGACAAGAAGGAGAAAGTAACGGTGACCCTGACGGGAGGCAATGGGAGAGGGACCCCAGAGGTCCATATGCACAAGATCAAGGGGTTTGGGGGAAGCAGAAGGGGAAGAAGGATGAAAAGATTGGGAGAGCTTGGCTTGAACACAAGAGGTGAGAAGCAATGCTTTGAAGGGGCGGGGAAAATGGAACGACAAAGCGAGGGTCCATAAGAGGAGAAGCACCAAGGATGCTATCCTGAGATGGCATGGTCACACTGAAGACAGAGGCCAGAGAACCAATACCAGAGGTTACAGCGGCAAAAGAGCGGCGAGGCTGATGGGACAGCGGAATCCAAGCAGAGTGGTGGAGAAGAGGGGAGGTCCAGCGGTAAGGAGGAGAGGTGCAAGGGGAGGAAGGGGCAGCGATGGGAGCGGAGAGTAGGGAAGGCAAGGGTAGGAGAGGAGGTACGGTAGAAGGAGGATGAGGGAAAAAACGCAGAGGAAGAGAGGTAAGAGCGAGAATAGGCGCCATCAGGGGGAGGGGATATCAACGGAGCAGATGAGGGGAGACAAAAGAGGAGGAGGAATAGGAGCAAGGTAATCAGCTGCTGAGCCGATGAGGGGAGATATAAGAGGAGGAGGAATATGGGCGAAGTAGTCAGCTGCTAAGCCGTTGGTGGGAGACACATGAGGAGGAGGAATAGGGGTGAAGTAGTCTGCTGCTGCGCCGCTGAGGGGAGAAACAAGAGGAGGAGGGATAACGGCGGAGTAGTCTGCTGCTGCGCCGCTGAGGGGAGAAACAAGAGGAGGAGGGATAACGGCGGAGTAGTCTGCTGCTGCGCCGCTTGTCAGAATCCCAGCCACTAGACCACTGGGATAAAAGGGCTTTTTAAGTAGCGGGTCAGTGCGCCCATAACCCCCCAGAACAACGAATCTGTAACCCTTCCCTAGGATCAATCGGGGATCACCAGTAGACATCTGACACCCCCCCGCACTGGGATGCCCGAAGTGCACACACTGGGATTCGAATCCAAGACCTTCGCTGTGATACCATGTCAAAACTAACGAACAAGAATGGTATATTATGAACTACGGAGTAAAAAGTAAAAGACGGCCTAGAGCAGCAGTGGCAGGGGAGGAGTAACGGGCGACTACGGCGTCGTACAGTGCTTTAGCAGTCTTGTGCTGTCCGAAGTGAGCGCGTTCGGCTAACGGCAGGTGATTGCGAACGGCTAAGCAAGCAGCAGCGTCACGGGTAAGCCACTGTGACCGAGTCGCACTGTCAGCTGTGGCTGGAGGGGCGGGAGAGGCTCCAGACGTGTGGTTAAACAACGAAACGCTGTCTCTAGAATCGCTGAGTAGGTATAGCTGTAAGTCGTCGAGCCACGTATCGAACTGAATCGGACGGCCCTCATGATCGAAGCTGAGTACTCTGAGAAAAGCCATAGCAGGCAGAGCAGGGTGGCGCGCGAACAACAGAGCAGCACGCAGAGAGGGCGGCGCTAGAGCACTAGGGAAGCGCGCAGGGCAGGGCAGGGCGGCGCACGGCTAGGGCGCACAGCAGGGCGGGTAGTAGCCGGGCGGCGCAAGCAGCAGGGCGGGCAGCAGCCGGGCGGTGCAAGCAGCAGGGCGGGCAGCAGCCGGGCGGCGCAAGGGCTGCAGAGGGGCGGCAAACGGGCCGCAAGGGGTGGCGAGCGGGCAGCAAGTGGCGGCGCGCAGGCTGCAAGATGCGGCGATCGGGCCGTAGGCGGGCAGCGAGCGGGCCGCAGGCAGGCGGCGAGCGGGCTGCAGGGGTGGCGAGCGGGCCGCGAGCAAGCGGCGAGCGGGCGGCAGGGGCGGCGAGCGAGCCGCAGGCAGGCGGCGAGCAAGCTGCAAGGGCGGCGAGCGGGCCGTAGGGGTAGCAAGCGGGCTGCAGTGGCGGCGAGCGGGCCGCGAGCAAGCGGCGAGCGGGCGGCAAGGGCGGCGAGCAAGCCGCAAGCGGGCGGCAAGCGGGCCTTAGGGGCGGCGAGCGAGTCGCAACGGCGGCGAGCGGGCCGCAAGGGCGGCGGGCGGGCCTAGGGGCGGCGGGCGGGCCGCAAGCAGGCGGCGTGTGGGCTGCAGGGGCGGCGCGCGGGCCGCAAGGAAGTGGCGAGCGGGCTGCAGGGGC